TATTGGTAGCATGCACTTATGACGACGTGCTCGCAGCGCTGACAAACAATTTTGGAACACAGCGTGACAGCCATAGTATCGATGATACGAAGCAAAATCCTATTTTCTGATTGGTTGCAGAACGTCGTATGATGCACGTCGGATCCAATGTGAATCCAGCAAATGGGATATAGGAAAATGAATTCCTGCAGATCGGAAATCACACATACATATGACAGGGACATTGCCGACTTCGTTTTGTCTATCCATTTTGATTTTGATTTACATTTTCGCCTTTCTGTATATTATTTAGGTATACGACATTCGTATTCTAACCATGTTGATCTCTGTATTTATCTGGAGACTTAATTAATTACCTTCAGGGTTATGTTCAGATTATCATTCGAGTGCCACCCAGGTATCACTCCAATCTTGTTATTTACCGAACGTTAAATAAGGATGACATGATACCCGGAGAATACCCAGGTAGGAATCTGACACGTCTCAGCATGTTGATTAACCATGCGTTTGTATAGAAGACACTTTTCTCCGTTTAAATCAGGGACTCTATTCTTGAAAAGCAATGTATACGAAAGTCTAGGGAAATGCTACAGTATATGTTACGTATATTATAGTATTTCCCTAGACTTTCGTATATGTTTCTTTTCAAGAATAAAGCCTCAGGTTAACAAGGTAATTTTTTATAAGGACATGTATGTACATGCACACGCACACACGCATGCATCGGCGGAATCCGCAAAAGAAATAAATTTACGCAACAGAAAACGGCAGAATCGGCGGAATGAAGCCACGACCAATCACGAACGTTCCGCCAATTCCGCATTGCACCAATTCCGCGCCATGAGACTGCGCCGTAACGGGTGGCACCCAGTTGGACACGGCTCAATTGGACACGAGCCACTCACAGCGCTTGAGGCTACAAAGCTCCTAAGCACCGGTTGCTGTGATTAATGGTGTCCAATCGAGCATAATGCTGATAGGTTGCTTCTACGACGCATTCTCTATTCCGTAGTCGTTTTCCGCACCGTGTGATTTCACCCTAAGGGTGGGTTTTCATTTATGCATTATTGTCGCACGACAAATTTTTCAAGCCTATTGATTGGCTATAGGATAGAGAGATCTCACTATCCTGTACACATTGGTCGTACGTCGTACGACAAAAACACACAAATGAAATCCCACTTGGATCACATCTTGTACGCGCGCTGAAATTTATGTCGGGTATACTGCCGTGTGCATTGTGCCGATCGTGGTCGTTTGTAAATTAAGGGGATGACCCATGGATGTCCCCTGTCATAGTAGTATTTCCCTTTTCTCTTATTATTGCATACATATACAACTGATGCTGATAAGTTGTTCCTGCGATCGAGTTTGTTGAATTTTCTGCATATTATCTAACAGAGGAAGTTTTCATTCTAAGTTCCATCATTTGTTCAATAGAGGTTATATTTCTGAGGGGATTTCACTGGGAGATCGAAACAAGTGGCGCGAAGTCATCGGGAGCAAGCTTTATGTCGACGTTTTGTGGATCGCGACTGTAAATGGACAGTCTGCGGGAACCAACGCCGGCGAAGAAGAGGTGTATCTCGACGAACGGGAGCAAAATGCAATCATTGGAATATGTACGACAATTCCAATTGCCGCAACAGTTTCCTAGTACGATAAAACAGACCTTAAAGAGTATAAATATCACTGAGCCTACCACGCCAACTATTATGTGTCCGGATACTGTGAAGATATCGTCCAATGTGGAGAACCAAGTTCCGTGTAATCTACAGAAGCTGAGAATTTTATCTCCAGGTGGAAGAGATCTGGGAGAATTTAACGTAAAGATGTGTTCTGCTGATTCATCAAAAGGAAACACTATTACGATTACCAAGTCTAATTGCAAACCTAACGATAAGCCACTGATACTTCCTTTATCTCCGGTCTTCCCTACAAAATCAATTCCACGAATACTTAGGCAAGGTTCCTCAAAAGTTCCAAGAAGAAATTTGATGGAAGTGATGTCTTGCAGTACGACTATCCCCTGGACAGATAGTACCAATATGTTGCATCAGCAAAAATCTACAACTAAAGATAAAAAGCTTTTAAGTAGCCAAAATATGAAAGGTAAGGTGGAAAAACAGATGTCTGATAATAGTATTAATGCTGATAAGGCACATTCTATAGGTGAAATAATTTCTAAACATTCTATATGTCAAACTATTAATAGTAATAATCAGAAATATATAATATACTATGGAATTAATGATACCGATATTCATAATCATACAAAAATTCTAGAAACTACAGCTGAAAATAACGAAATGTCTTCTATAGAAACATCATTGTCTAACGATATTATAGAATTACCATATCCTGCAAGTAATAAGAAGCACACAATAAATTCTAGTAATAAAAATAACATACCATTGTCTGGGCAAAGTCTTAAAGTAAGTAAGGGAAAGTGTATCGCTACAATAAAGAAAACAGAAAATGGAAAGATAGTTACATCTCTGAAGAGTGCAACAAATCTTGTGCAAAGATGTAGTCAGACTGATAGCAATTTAAATCAAAACAATAGTAGAAAAAGTTTTGCTAAAAATGGTACAAATAATTCACACGAAATAAAGTCTGACTTAGTTCCTAAAGCAGTGTCTGAAAAAACACAAAATGTTATGACAATTATACCTAACAATAAAGCTTCTACGTTTAATCAGAACGCAACTTTGACACAGAAATGTAAAACCTCTTTGGTATCTGGAAGTATTAAAAATGTAACGAATATCACAGGTCGTAGTATACTTAGACACAATACAAAGCATGACAATACGCAGAGTAAACATTTAAAGGCAGAATTTCGAAATGATAAAGTAGTCATTGACAATTATGTGCGGCCAATTTCAGAATCACGACAAATTAAAGACGTTAGTACAAACATGCAATCAAATGTACAGAGCAAGGATTGTTCTAAAGATTTGCCGCAAAAAAATTTGTCGGATCGATTGAATATTATAAAAAAAGCAATGGACAGTGTAAGAGACAATGAGCTGCGTGAGTTGGCGCTCAAGGCTTTGGAAGATTGTGGCATCGGAATTGAGAGACATGTTCCGATACTTCCACCGAAAGACCACAAAGCTGTACACGACACGCAGGTACAGACCGTAGTGTTTGGACTACTCGATCCCAAATCCTTTATATTAATAAACAAGGACTTGAATGACATTCACAGGCTAAATCAGATTACTCTTTACGATATGCCTACTGATGAAAATCTATTAGTGAATAATCCACATTCTAATAATTCTGTATCCAAAGACTCTAATGTAATTGAACGAGAAAGTCCTTTTGATTTAGATAGTTTTATGGAACAATTTTGGGAAGAGGATTCAGATGCACTTAAAATGAAGGAGACTTTATCGATGACGAGAGTAAGATGTAATAGCCTTTTAGAACATCTACAGAGGGACTTTGAAAATGTTAAACAATATGATCAAAACGGTATGTTGAATATACATAATGCAATCGTAAGCGATAACATCTATCTCGTTCGGAGACAACTAATGGTACTTCAATATTACAAACAAAGCATTGATATATTAACTGAAGATGGAACGGTGAATTTATTTCTCTTTTATTTAATTTCGAATTTAATTTTATCTTATTTCAAAAGACGTGATACATGTTTTATATGCCCTGCAGACGAGTTTGGAATTGGCAATCAAATATGACGTGTGTAGCGAGATCGTGAAGCTCTTACTCGATGCTGGGGCACAACCAGTGATCCCGAAATCCTTACATGAATCAGCAGTGATTATGGCTAGCAAGCGTTCATCACCGTTGTTGTCAATGCTTGTTAGCCGAATCTCAGATCCAAAATTGCTTGATCAAATAGACTCAGAGGGTAAGACTAATATATGTATATGTGCAAGAGATAATTTGGAGAACTGGTCTCAAAATATCCTCGTTAATACGTATTTATTTCTTTTCCTAGGTTTCGCGGCATTGCATTATTGTAGTATGCGTGGCAATTTGAAAGGAGTCAGAGCGCTTTTGGCAGCTGGTGCGACTATAGATTTAAAGGATATGAAATCAGGACGGACGCCTTTGTTTCACGCAGTAGATAATGATTGTACGTCGGTGAAAAAAGCACTGTTAAAAGCCGGTGCTGTCACAAATATTGCAAACTTCGCGGGACAAATGCCCCTATGTATATTTTCTGATTCGCTAAATTTGTCTTTTGGATCATCATTGACAAAAGATACAACGTAAGGTCATTTTATTTTTATTATTTTTATAAAATGACATCTCTTCAATGAGATATAACATGTGTTACCCAAGTAAGACTATATATTTCAAGTAACATCACGTAAAAATTATTAGAAATCATTTTAATTTAATTTGAACTAGTCAAAATAACATAATATTTCTATTAACGTGACTTTAACTCAACACTAATTAATTTTATTCGTACGATTACTGTAAAAAATTTCAACCGTAAAATTGTTTACAATAGAGTTATTAATTTTAATGAAAGTATAGATATAGTTTATAAGTTAATTAGGTGATAGAAGCCATTTAAGTAATAGGAGTTTGGTAAAAAGCCGTAAATATTTTCCAGTGTTAATACACACTCACATATCATTAAAGAAATACTGCTTAAAAAGAACTTTTGAAACTTGTAACACACAAAAGAAATAGAAATATTTAATTTTAATAATGCTACATAAATAGGTTTTGATATTTGAGTATATAAGCAACATTGTACTTTTTTTATATTATTTATTAATTACTGTAGTACAGTATTAGGATATTATTGGTCGGATATTATAGGGATATATATATCCCCTATAAAATAATTTAAAAAACAAAAAACATTTTTATTTATGTAATTTGATCAATATGTATTCGTGTACCGATGTTCTTGATATATAAAGTAATTTTTATCCAATTGTGCTCGATTAATGATGAATCAGAATAAATGACATTATATGCATAAGTAATGGCTTATGACACTGACTTAAGCATCCCGTAAGATAACGCTCTTTTTAAGGTACATTTAAAATGCTTACATACATATTTATGCTTTATGAAGCAAGTTGTATCACCTGTACTATATACAATTTATATATTTGATTTAACTCTAAGCACATGTCCGTAAATGTTTGTAAAAGTGAAAAATGGACAGATTTCATCTAGTGATGATCATTGAATATAACAATTTGTTATTAATTTTTATGTAACATCATATTTATATTAGGAATGCATTTTATAAAATATTAGAAGTTATCGCAAGAATAGTAGTTTTCATAACTTATATAAATCAATATTTTTGTATTGTATTGCAAAGACCTTATGATAATATTTGAAAAACAATTATTAATGTAATTAATATAATTAATCCAGGTACTGTTGTGATTGTAAATATTTAATTTAACAATGTTATATGCATAATTACTATTCATTATATATAATGCAAATGATTATGAATATACACATTAACATTTTATGTAGTTATCGACAATATTGCATATAATTAAATAAAAGGAAAAGAAGCAAGTACTGTTCATATTAATTCGTATACTTCCAAATGTATTTTTACTCATAATATTTAACCCTTACCGTACCATCTACAATTTGGTGCTTTATCCATACCATCAAGGATCACTTCAAATCTCTTCGTTTTTTCGCTTCTTCAAAATAATTTAAAAAATCTCTAAAAATTCACCAACATACTTTCAACTTTCTAGAATAAATATTGACTCTATTTTGGAAAATAATAAAATGTAGTATAATTTATAATTAATTACCGAAAGACTCAAAGAAACTTGTACGAACAGGAATCGCTCGGTCACTAGTTATCCATATTAGTACGGTAAGGGTTAAGATTCGTATGTAATTACAAAATTAATTTTAAAACCAGCTACTTAAAATTTAATGGCTATATCAGAGTAATGTTTGATTGGTTAAATAAGTATATACCATTATATATATATATATATATATATATATATAATTCTCGCAAACCGAACCAATAAAAAAACACTTAAAGGCGCTAGACCAATGAGCATCTTAAGACCAAGACATTTCGAGGGAATAGCGATAGCGATAAGAATAACACGATTTCTGTCTATCAAAAATCAGGTAGACCGGAATACACAATTTCTGATAGATTGAAACTGTTATTTTTATCGCTATTGCTGAATTCACACTGCATCCGATTTGCGTCGTACGACGCTCTGCAACCAATCAGAAAACAAGATTCCGATGGATTTTGCTTCGTATCATCGGAATCCTGTTTTCTGATTGGTTGCAAAGCATCTTATGACACAAATCGGATGCAGTGTGAATCCAGCATGTGTTCCAAAATTCACTGCCAGCGCTGAAAATCTACAATTTACGTCCCATATACTACACATTTTCAACACTGGTAGTGAATTTTGGAACACACCCAAAACTGCGTTCGGATTCCAACCTAGGTGCTCCCCAGATGTCGTATTATCCTTGTTGTTTATCGAACGTCAAACAAGGATGACATGACATCCGAGGAGCACCCCAAAATTTGATTCGTTATTCCAACATGCTAGCGCTATTATTCGCAGGAAAATGCATAGAGGCCAAAATTTAATTGTTTCCAGTATTGCTATCACACTTTGTATCTTGTATTCTTATAGCGTTTTCCACTGGGAAAACTGGTGCAGCACTAGCGCCGTGCTAATGGCTCCCGCACACAGAACGCAGCAACACTTGCACAGACTTCTATATATTACCATGCGTAATATATAGAAGTCTGTGAACACTTGCCGCGCGGCGGAAGTTATCGCACTAACCAAAGATAAGACATATGGCCGGGTAGCACCCAGTTGGACACGGCTCAATTGAACACGAGTCACCCACGAGCTTGAGATTACAAAGCTCCTAAGCACCGATCGCTGTGATTGGTGGTGTCCAATCGAGCCGTGATCAATCGGGATCACCCCCTTGTGGCTGTAGCACAGACTTTTGGACTACCGCACACACCTTCCGTAACAGTAACCATAAGCCGTATCATAAATATCAACCAATCAGAATTAAGAGTTTAAAAGAATTCTCGACTGTGATTGGCTAATTCTTATGGTACGCCCTATGATTACTGTTACGGAAGGTGTGTGCGCCAGCCCTTTACATAACGCATAACACATAGTGCATAAGCGAATCAACTAATCAGAAGCTTTCCTTTCCTCTTATTCCATGGAAAAGAAGAATTGCAATTGGTTGATTCCCTCATGCACTATGCATTATGCGTTATGCAAGAGTCTGTGCTGCGGCCAATAGAGAATGGACTGAGCGATCCGTGTGTTAAAATGGTCGATAAAGATAAGAGGGAGAGAGAAAGACCGTCGCAGACGGCCATTTCTATCTCTTTCCATTCAATGGTGTAATGAGAGAGAGAATGAGAGGGAGATTGGCCGTCTCCCAATAGTCCCTCTCTCTCATTATTGTCGACCACATTTGATACACTACTTAGATACGGATCGCGCAGTCCATTCTCTATAGGTTTGTTTTCTGTGGCTAAACTAGTGTACACTTTTGGACCTAAAAATGAGATAGATATACGTTTGATATTTGTTTAAAGCGAGAAAGAGAGTTCTAGAACAGTCTAGTGTAGGAACAAAAAACAGACCATATGTCTTTGGCACTAACCAATAATTCTATGGCCGGTATTCATAGTCAATTCTTATTTCAAGATCGTCTTAAGTAATGTCTTAAAACGCTAATGCAGCTCTCTGATTGGTTCGTGACTTCTTAAGACCGTACTTAAGACGATCCTGAATATAAGATCTGACTATGAATACCGGCCTATGTATGGAATCCATAGACGTTGCACAAGAGATGCTCGAGATGGTCTTAAGCTAGTTTTTGAACCAATCAGAGAGCCGTATTAGCATCTTAAGACACTGCTTGAGATTAAGGCCGATATTCATAGTCGAGTCTTATTTCAAGACCGTCTTAAGTAATAGCTTAAGACGCTAATGCAGCCTTCTAATTGGTTCGTAACTTCTTAAGACCGTACTTAAGACGGTGCTGAATATAAGCTCTAACTATGAATACCGGCCTAAGACCGGACTATTCCTGAATTCACACTACATCCGATTTGCGTCGTATAATCCTCTGCAACCAATCAGAAAACAGGATTCCGATGATACGAAGCAAAATCCTTCGGAATCCTGTTTTCTGATTGGTTGCAGGGCGTCGTACGACGCCCATCGGATGCAATGTGAATCCAGCATATGGATTCCGGCCTATGTTCTTAATGCTGGATTCACACTGAACACAGCAAGCGACAAGCAGTGGAGCAGCAACCTACCAGCGAAGCGATATTTTTTACGCCACTGTAAATATCGTCACGCTGGTTGGTTGCTACTCCGCTGCTTGACGCTTGCTGTATCCAGTGTGAATCCAGCATAAGTCGGCCTCACCATGCAAAACTTCTAGAAATGATGTAATATTATTTCCGCCGCGCGGCAAAAGTTGGATTGATGGCTCTTGCACACTGGACGCGGAAACGCTTGCCACGCGGCAAAATGTGATGAAGTAGCCAATAAACTTACAGCTCCTAATGTATTCATTGGTTACTGCGTCTCATTTTGCCGCGCGGCAAGCATTTCCGCGTTTAGTGTGCAGGAGCCATGAGTTCAACTTTTGTCGCTCGGTGGAAATTATATATCTATTATTTCCGAGCAAGCGAGACGTTGATTGGCTATCGCGTCAACTTCCGTCGCGTGGCAAACGTTGCTGCGATCTGTGTGCGCGAGCCATAAGTTTAGATGAAAACTGCACTAGTGCAGTAATAGTGCAGGTTTAGTGCGGTTCAATCATAGACTTATAAGATGGACAGAGCGTTCATACGAGAGGAGTTGAAGACAACATTGAAGGACAGTTCTACTCCTCCAGACATAGTTGTTTCTCTCTTTCATAGTGAGCAGTGGCAGACCAATTAGCTTGAGAGTAAGACCACAATTCTCGAACGTCTATCTTTGTTGGGGGTGATCCCGATTGATCACGGCTCGATTGGACACCACCAATCACAGCGACCAGGTGCCTAGGAGCTTTGTAGTCTCAAGCGCTGTGAGTGGTTCGTGTCCAATTGAGCCGTGTCCAACTGGGTGCGATTTCCAACCCGCTTGCAGCCGTCGATGGTAGTGGCATCGGTCGGTGGCCTGGCGCAACCGGTAGCACACACACAAGCACAAGCTCGTGTACGTGTGACTTTGCTAGTAGAAGCGTGGGGACTATCGTCTGTCCTTGGTACCTGTTATGGAAATAATCGGAATGGATTCCAGTCGGAATTATTCAATGATTCCCTAGATTTC